AAAGCTGCACCAGATGTATTCAATTTCCATTAACAATTTTAAAAACCCGAGGAGTGGCTGGTGGGTTTGAACCGCCAGCCTTCTGGTTAGCAGTCAAGTGTCTTAGCCACTATGCTACCAGAGCTCCCTTATACAAATATAAACATTGTATAACTGTGTAAAAAAAAAAAAGCTGCACCAGATGTATTCAATTTCCATTAACGATTTTAAAAACCAGAGAATTCACTAAGATCTCAATGCAATTATCCTCACCTTCCTCTCATCAGCAGACAATACTCTAAATCGAAGTATTCCTTCTTTTATTATGTCTGCTTCATCTGAAAAGTCAGGATTGCCAGACAAAATATTACTTCTGTTTTCTTCCAGCCACATCTGGAACCCAGTCTTTGGCCTAAAATAGTAATTAAATGGTAAAAATTTATATTTAAGACATAATTTAAAGCATCTTATTTTTCAAGTTAGTAATTAACCATTAATCTTTACCTACCTATATAAAGTATAGGAGACACAATTATACTTGTAAATATTCATATTACACCCATTTCTCATTTATCAACATGGTTAGATTTCAAAGACCAGATTGTTATGTGAAAATGGAGGACAACCTTATCAGATCACAGAATGGAGGCTGACTACATTATTACATAACTGCCAGTGACATCATTAGATAAACTGTCAAACCACTGAGAATCATGGCCCAGCCAAGCTGACATATAACCTTAACCATCACAGCCAGCATTACTCTCGCCTTGCACATCAGCATTCGTTTCTGCCAAACATATGTCCTTAATGCCCAAAATAGCCAAGTAGTACATTTTTCACTATTGTTGTAAATGGGAAATGTCAGATAATGAGATAATCGTTAAGTGAGGAGTAGGTGTACTTAAGATTGCCTGGTAACTGCAAGATTAATGAACTGAAAAATCCCTTATAATATCAATTCAAAATGATCATTCACATTAGTATTTTCCTAGTAACTATACCTGCCATAGGAGCTCTGGTAGCATAGTACCTAAGGCACTTGACTGCTAACCAGAAGGCTGACGGTTCAAACCCACCAGCCACTCCTCAGAAGGAAGGTTGGGCAATCTACTTCCACAGTGATACCGCCTCGGAAACCCAAGGAGGGGTCGCGATGAGTCAGGTCTGACTCGACAGCACATAACAGCAACAACAATACTTGCCATACTTTCAACTCTTTTAAGAATGTAGACAGGCCCGAGGTCGGCAATGTCACTTGACCCCTCTAGCTCAGGCTCTTTCTCTACTTCTCAAACAAGCTATTTGAAACTTCACGACTTCTCTCAAATCCCTTACCTATCACCTAGGTCTTTCCCTGAATCATCGCTATGTAAAGAATTGACATAGCATATTTATCAATTTTATTTGATTTCACTTCTGACACAGATTGTCTTTAAGTTCCAAGTGAAGACTTTATGCAAATATTTAGCATTTACTGTGTACTTATTATCTGCCAGGCACTTTTTAAACTCCTTACATGCATGTTGTTGTTGTTATATAAGCTCCTCCTTATATGCATATCCTCATTTAATGTGCAACAACCCTATGAAGTACATACAATTAATATCTCCATTCCATAGATGAGAAAATTGAGGCTTGGAGAGACAAAATAACTTACTCCAAATTACACAGATAGACCTGGGATTCAACAGATAGGCAGTTCGATCCCAGAGTCCTCACATTTTTAGCCCCCCACCTATACTGCCTCCCACTGCACTGCAGCTCTCAACAGGATCCTAAATAACCAGTCTACATCCATATAAAAAGTAAGTGGCATAATTACCAAGGGAAAATGTTTCTGAATGGAAACAAAAACACAGGATATAAAACTGTATCTCTAATATAATTCCATTACGTATGTAATCTTAACTTCATTTACAAGAATTAGAAAGAAAATACCACCTCTGTGAATAACTAAGTGATTTTTGTCTTTATAAGCATTTTCCACTTTCTTTAAATTTTAGAAAAATAAGTTATTAAAAAATATTAATAGGACCCCTATAACCACTTGCCCAATTTCTAAAAATAGATAAATTCCAAGTAATCTTCTTAATGTAATCTTACTTCCAGAAAAATAATAGAACAAAACTAACAAAAACCAATGCTAAACAAAAGGTTCTTGAGTTTCTAAAAATTAATATACATTTTAATCACTGTTGGGGCAATGTCACAGGTCTAGTAACAGCATGCAGTTTCCTTGAATGTCTCTAAACAGGTGCATTTTTAGGGGCGAAAAAAAAAATTACGATTTAGTGTATCATCCAAAACAAACTCCCTGCCATGGAGTCGATTCTGACTCACAACAACCCCACACTGGGTTTCCAAGACTGTAAATCTTTACGGACGCAGACTGCCTCATCTTTCTTCCATAGAGCAGCTGGTGGGTTCGAACCACCAACCTTTTGGTAAGCAGCCAAATAAATGCCTTAACCACTACACAACCAAAGCTCCTTAATATATCAACATTTGTTTTGAATTTTCCAGTTAAATAATAGAAATTCCTTAATGACATTTGAGAAAGTAAGTTTTCTGCATAGCCAATTGAGAATATAAAATGTTGAATTATCAATCTTCTTAAATAAAATTTTCACTGCTTAGGATTTAAATAGAATTCAGTACAAAACAGAGAAATAAAAGCCATAAAAGCTGTGGCTTTTATTTATGTTAAACTGGTTAACATAAAGTTACTAGTATAATGAGATACTAAATACTAATGCTAAAAATGAAATGGTGACTTCTCCAATTTAACCAATACATTTAAAATAAATCTAACATAGCAAAGATATGGACAAACAAGAGGTCTCATACTGCTGGGCTGTATAAATCAATATAACATCAGTGCAGAAAAATCTGTCAATATCTTCTGGAATTACAAGTGTATATTAACTTGAAACATACAGAAATCTATCTTATAACTATATTTGAGAAATGACATATATGAGAAATGACATTCATGTAAAGTTATTCACTGAAGTACTGTTTGTATGAGCAAAAGATCAACAACCACCTTTTGCTTACCAGTAGAGACATGAATTATGATATATACATTACATGCAATGTAAGAAGATTAAAGTAGTTCTTTACGTAATAACATGATATGATCTGTAGAAGCTATCACAATGTGTACAGTATGCTACTATTTGTGTAAAACTAAAAATACAGACACATAGATATACTTGTGTGTTTGTTTATATATAGAATAATTCCAAAACACCTAAGAAACTTGTTGCAGTGACTGTTTTTGCAAAGGGGAACTGGGTATTCACCAGGAAAGAGGCTTACTTTTCATCACATTTTTTTTTCTATCTTTTGATTTCCTCCCATGTAAATATATTTTCTTTTCCAAAACAAAACAAAAAATGAACTAAAAAAATATGGAAACTTAAAAAAACATAAAATATTGTATCCCCCCAAAAAATATAAATACAATTTATGAAAGCTTATTTTAACATGTGAATCATAGGTCCTACCTATTATTATACCTATTTTACAGAGAAGCAAACAGGAGGCAGGAACTTGTTCAAGGTCACCCAGCTGGTAAGCAGTGGAGCTCATATTCCAACCCAGGTAGTCAGGCTCTGGAATCTGTTTTTCTAATAATTGTGCTATAATGCCACTCACTATAAGTTATTGATTAAAAAATCAGAAATATACTCCTTCCTACCCTTAATAATCCTGGGGTAAGGACTATCCTTCTCAGTACCCACTACTTAAAAGTTACAAGTGTTCTGAACACCCACCATCAGTACTAATGTATTATTTTTAATAAGAGTTGTGTAATTTTGTATTGCTGCTACTGTTAAGCATTTTATCAGGACGACATATTAAGAACACTAAATTTCTACATGTACTGACTTTTGGTTTTCTGTGTTTTGAGGAGACACAGCTGGGGTTTCAGATGATGAGTTTTTTGGATTTTCTTCTTTCACTTCATCAGTCTTATCAGCTTGGGAAGTTCTTTTTTGGAAATAGGATGCTGCAGATGCCTGAAAAACAAACATGAGCGTTGCCACAAAACTTTTATGATTCTATAAGTTAAAGGCAGTGCAGTGTAGTAAATTACTTAGTATGGCTTTTCTACCCATAAGTCATTGTAAACTCAGTGGTGGAATGAGCAACTGAGGAGCTCCTGATTGTAAATGTTAACCACCTGGGTTATTTCTGTTGGGCGTAGCACAATGCAATGTTATGGGAGGCTCACTCTCAGGTGCTTAGAATTCTGTTGTTATGATTGGTTGGTTTGGCCACTCTGCCAAGGTCAAAAAGAGGCCTCCTGGAGGCAGAACTCTCTCTGACTGCTGGTTGAGGAAGACATGCTGCTGAAAGAAACACGTGCTGCTGGGAAAGAGACGCAAGAGACACGCATTGCTGAATAAGACACCGAGGGACATGCACTGCTGGGAGAGAGACTGTGAGAGACTTGGCTGAGAGACATCGGGCTGGGAGAGAGACTGAGCGTTTTTCCTGAACTTCAATTGTAGCCTGGTGCTTCCCTAATAAACCTCATAATCTGTGAGTTCTGTGTGGCCACTGCAGAGAATTATCAAACCCAGGAGAGAGGTGGTGGTACTTTGGGAGGAACAGTTGGTGAAAGGGCTGGAGGGAGGCAGCATGTCTGGCCATGTAGGAATAGGCCTTGGGCTATTGATGGTGATTCTGTCTTCTTCTTGTGGGGTTCTAGGAGGTCAGAATATGTGGCCACCTTATCCTTTTTGCAGGCAGGTTTTGAAAAACACAAAGAAATATTTATAATTATTTAAAATTCTTATAATGTGGGAAGTCCTGAGGTTCTTAGTTAAACATGCATCCATACACAAAACCAAAGTGCTACACTTCAAATTTAATGATTTCTAAATGAATAAAATTATATGAAATGGAAAAGTTAAATAACAGATCTATTTCACTGATGACAAAATGAGATCAAATGCTTACTAGAGGAGGCAAAATCAGAATATAGGCAGAAAGACTAGGGTCATTTGTTACTAAAAAAGAACACGCATCACAACGATCCAGGAAGTTTATTAAAAACAAAGATATATGCCTAAGTCCTAGGGTCTGGATATATATATAAACATAAATAAATAAATACAATTTTGCAAATTAGGTTCTTTGATAACAATTTTTATACATATTGTTCCATGCCATGGTTACAATTTCTACAATGTGTCAGCATTCTCATCATTTCCATTCTGTTTGTTCTGTTTCCACTGATCAAGCTTCCCTTCTACTCCTTGCCTTCTCATCTTTGTTTCTGGGCAATGTTGACCATTTATTTGGTCTCATATAGTTAGCTGTTTAAGGGAGCACATTACTCACTGGTTATAGTGTTTATAGCTAATTTATAATTTGGCTGCAAGGTGACCTGCAGAAATAAGGGTATATGTGTTTTAAAAAGCGACCAGATGATTCTGAAGCAAAGCTAGAACTGAGAACCACTGCCCTACTAGACCATCACGTATAAACAACTAGCACTTCCTGTCCTTGCCTGATACAGCAAATAAACTGATATCTAACAAGCAGATTACATGTAGTTTACTGCAGATTGGGATAGCTCAAAGAGTACCTGCTTAGACTTTGGCTTTGGAATCAGAGGCTTTATAACTGGAGACTTTTCATTATTTGCAGCTCGGTTAAGTGCAGTGGATTTCTTGGATGATTTGTTCATATTGTCTAAAATATTAGTTGAACGTGCTGTATTCACCGAAATGGCTGGCTCTTTAGAATTGGCTGATATCTAAAAAGCAAACTAGTCTTAGCATTTTATGTTTAAGGAGAAAAAAAATCCCAAGAGATACTTATTTTTCTTTAAAATTTAAAGTTTGCTTTATAGTCCTACCTTTAGAAATATCACTACTACATGTGGCACAATCCAAATTAAGACTGATGTGCATTAGTCCCAAAATACCATATCCTCCCCCCAAAACAGTATCTTTCAAAACCACAGGTACTTCGAATATAAGCAGAATATATAATTTTTGGCCTAAGGGTGAACTAGTGCTTTCTCCTTCTCTTCGCAATCATCTGCTTTAGTCTTTAATGCCTCCAGATCTGAGGAGGGACATCTGGTTATTTAGGAATATTCCTCTCTATGAAGATGTCTTTAAATAACAGAAAATATCACTGGAAAGAGTTTACCTTGAAGGGGTTTGTTCGTCCTTGGTTGCTAGATATAACTGCACCTTTCGCAAGCAAAAGAAACCCTTGCTTAATATTGCTTATAATAGTAAATAGGTAATTTTCATATATATTACATGAAAATAAATGTATTTCCCAATTTTAAAACTATTAACAACTACAGATGACCTCCTTCCTACTTCCAAGACAGAATAAAAGTTATTAGCTAGGAACTATCCCAATTTGCCACTATGAAACATACATACCCAGTATCTGTAGATCTACTCTTCCTCCTGCTCCTGGTGCCTTATTTTAGCAAAAGTTAATTCTATTTGTACTCTGGATTCTACCTCCCTCTGCTTTCTCAAAAGCTATCAATGATTCCTCTACCCATCTTTGACTTTTCTCTCTGATTGGCTCAAGTCTCTCAACCAAAATAAATAAATAAATAAATAAAATAACAAAAGAAAACCCTCTCCAACCCACATGCCCTCCAGCCACCATTTTCTCTCACTTCCCTATAAAGCCAACTTCTAAAGACCTATCTACAAAGCTGTTTCCACACTGTCCATATGTTCCTCCACCCAAAATAATATGGCTTCTAGCCCCTCTACCCTATAGAATCTGCTCTTGATAGGGCCCCCAATGACCTTTGTGGACAATGTGGTGTATACTTTTCAGTTATCACGGTTATGTGACCTCTCATAAGCCTTCCACATCACTGATTGATCCTTTTTCTGGATACTCTCTCCTCTCTTGACTTCTGAGATGCCACATTTTCCTGGCCCACCTCCTTCCTCTGTGGGTTCTCCGTCTCATTCTCCATGGATGGCTCCCCCTCCTCCTCTATCTGATGTTTAAATGTTAGGGCTTCCCTAGGCCTATGCCCATTCTCCTCCTTGCTGTATAGCCTCTACCAATGGTTATTCACCCATGCTATACTTATGCCCATGATTTCCATTTTCTATCTCTAGGCCAGACTCTTTTCTAAGTTCTTGGTTTAAACATCCAACTGCCTTCATGACATTCCATTTGATTAGAAAGAAATTCATCATCTTCCTATCAAAACGTACTTCTCCCAGTGTTTCCTGACTCAATAAATGGCAACATCATTGAAGCTAAAAACTACTCATGCTTCACAGATGAACACCCATACTCTCTACATTTTCCTGATAATTGTCTCTTCAATTCTTCCCATTCTTTGTACCCTCAGCAACACCACTCTAACCCAGGCCACTATTCAATCTCAGTTGGACTACATCAGCGGTGTCATTATATCCACTCCTCCTTAGCACAACATGCCATGCCATGTACCTGCTTAAACACTACAACAGATTCCCTGTGATCTCACAATAAAGTTCAAAAGCCTTAATATGGCCTACACAGAGCTGCAATATTTGGCTCCAGTCATCACTTCAAAAGCATCCAGTACCACTTTCCCTTTGCTATCTATGCTCTTCACACATACCCTTTTTACAGTCTCCTAAGCCCAAATGCTTTTCCCCTGTCCTTGCTCCTACCCACCTTTGCTTAGCTGACTCCTATTCTTCATTTAAACACTTGCTTTCCTAGAAGGTTTTCCTTGGGGTCTGAACTTGCCCCTGACCAGTGACTTGATTATAGCTACCTACTATATGCTCTTTTAATACTCTATACTTTCTGAAAGTTAACTTTTACCAAAATTCTTTATGAACATAGTTTAAAAAGTCAAATGGTACCATACGCTAAAAAAAAAACAAAACAGAAAACCCAGCAACCCTCTTCTCCAACCTTCTCTATCTCCTACCTCATGCCCTATAGGCAGCTGTTTTCTTTTTTTAAGCATAATTTATTTGTTGTTGTAATTGAGTATATACACAGCAGATATTTACTAACTCAACATTTTCTATGTGTACAATTAAGTAACACTGATTACATTCTTTAACTTGTGCAACCATCCTCACTCTACTTTTCTAAACTGTTCCTCTCCATTAACATAAAATCACTGCCCCTTAAGTTTCCTATGTAATCTCAAGTTGTCAATGTGATACCATATAGATAGCTCTTAAAAAGCACAATGCTCAAGGCAGACATTCTTTCTTAATTAAGCTGGGGTCTTAAAAGCTTGTAAGGAGCCATCCAAGGTACTGCAATTGGTTTCTTTGTCTGGAACAACAGAGGAAGGAGAAGAGTCAGGAACAGGTGGACGATATACAATGTGTGGTTAACTATCTCCATGAACAACTGCCTCCTTTAGCTATGAGACCAGGAGAACTGGTATCCAGCCAGCTACCGTTACTTGAATGTTCTGATCAAGGATTCCACAGAATAATCCTGATCAGAAGGGAGGAAATATAGAACAGAATGCCAAATTCTCATAGAATCCATACTTTCTATAGCCACTGAGGCTGGATGAATCTGTGAAACTATAGGGCAACTACCTTCAACTCCTTTTAACTGTTTCTCCAGCATCCTGCATATCTCTTTAGGAATACTCAGGAACTATATCATTGTATGTTTAATACTTGTCTTCCATGCTGGGATCAATCAGGCATGTTTGCTTGCCTCCTTTCCCCTTATCTAGCCAAAGATGACATGTAAGAAGCACTTAATACATTTGTTAAATGACCACAGTTTCACAAACATCTCTGATTAAAATAACAGGTATACTTGAAACATACCAATCTAAAGACTACTTGTAAAATTTGCTCGTTATTACAAATTTACAATTATTTCTCACCTGACTTAATAGTTGTCACATCAGAGGAATTTGTACTTTTGGAAAATGGGTTCTGTCCTAGAGAATAGATAAGATAAAGCAATACAATGTAAATGGGGAGGACAAAGTCACCTTCTCTGTTCAACAATTAGACCGTAAAGGTGGTTCAAAAACTATGGGTACTGATATTCCTCAGCCAGGTAAAATATGGAAAGCCACACCCATGGCACCCCTCATCATTTATTCCCTTGAAAATGTATCTCATTAAGCTTACGTATTTCTGGGTTTTTTTCTACTTCATCAAATTCCCCACTATCTTCTGCATCTTCTTCAACTTGATTTTTAAGCCTCGGCTGGCTCCACTCTGAGGCAGTATTATAATAACTAAAAGACAATAGAATTACTCAACAGAGAGCAATGCAAAGACCAATTTAATATTCAGGATACTAAAAGAAAACTCCAGCAACCTTAGTATTTTTTTTTCTCTTACCCAGCATTGAGCTTTTTTCTGAAATCCTCTTCTTCCTCTTCCTCCTCCTGGGTCACTGACAATTCAGCTGCCTTCTCCATAGCCAGTTCACTAAGTCTTTGGGCCAATATTAATTTCCGAGAACGAGAAGCGTATTTAATGGCTAAATTCAAAGCATTTTGGGTCATCAGATCAGCAAGTTCCACACATCGAAATTCCCGCTCCAGTTTACAAGAAAGCTAACCAAAAAAACAAAGGAAAAAATTAAATCTCATTAAACAAGTCTTTTGAAACTAAAAGACACTACTGATAAAACTAAGAAAATGGTTTTCTAGATACTGTACATCATTAGTTCTAAGATGTACATTTTTACATATTTTAACATCTCTGAATTTGGGTTGTGTCTTACAAATGATGGTGGGTCAGCATTTAATTGATAGTATTTTTTTTCTGTCTCAGTGGCTCAAAAACCCAGTTGCTGTTGACTCATTCTGATTCATGGCGATCCCATGTTTATCAGAGTAGAACTGTGCTATGTAAGGTTTACAATAGCTATTTTTTTTAGAAATAGATCATCAGGCCTTTCTTACAAGATGTTTCTGGGTTGACTTCAAACCTCCAACCTTTTGGCAAGCAGTTGAGCATGAACTGTCTGTACCACCCAGTGGCTTAAAACTAAACCAAATCCATTGCCATTGAGTTAATTCCAACTTGTAACAACCCTTTTAGGATAGAGTAGAACTGTTCTATAGGGTTCCAACACTATAATCTTTAAAGAAGCTGACTGCCTCATCTTTTTCCTGCGGGACAGCTGTCAGTTCAAACGATTGATCTTTTGGTTAGCAGCTGAATGCTTTAATCACTATGCCACCAGAGCCCCAATAGTGGTTAGATTCAATGAAATATGGCATTAACATTTCAAGAAATTAATTGCAAGGAAACCAAAAAACTTTCATAAATTCAAAGGTGGTTCTCTCAAATTTGTTTCCAGCCCCTGTACCACCCCCAAAAAGAACAAACCAAAAACCCAATCCACTGCCATTGAGTCGATTCTGACTCAGAGTGACCCACCATTGGCTTTCCAATGTAAATGTAAAATGTAAATCTTTACACAAGTAGATTACCTCATCTTTCTCCTGTGGGCTTAAATTACCAACCTTCTGGTTAGCAGCCAAATGTCTTACCCACTATGCTACCACAACTCCTCCAAAAAAAAAAAAGACATAGGGTAGGAAATTTAAAAAACAAGTTGTAAACAAATCAGTTATTACTTTGCCAAGAATGGTACACAACTGCTACTAAGTAAATTTTGTTGGGGGGACCTTACAATATAAAACATAGGATACTCAAGATCTCTTAGAAAACACTGATTATTTTTCCTTTTGGTACGAATTTTGGCAACCTAACAAAGTACGAACTGAGGAAAACTGATCACCTGAATCCTATTAAGGGTCTCACAATCCATAGGATAGAAGGATTACTATTGTTACTTAAACATCATGTTTGCTCAATCAGCATGGATGCTTTAGTCACCTTTATTTCCTTGTTACATTCTCCACTATCACTCATCCATAGACATTAATTACATTTCAATCAGGGTGGTAGTCTGCCACAGGGAATGTATAGAAATGAAAGGGGATTGTTTGGTTCTCACACTGGCTCCCCAAAGCTATCTTTTCCAGGTGAGAAACACTGCTCCAAAGGAAAAGTGCTAAGGTGAAACAGTAAATAAATCAAGTATGTTTCTTCAAATGTGTTACAAGAAGTATAAAGGTTGCTAGTTCCTGGACCACACATGATACTTTATAAAAGAAACAAAAATAATTCCATAAAAATTAAAATTAAAAAATATTAAATTCAAAGCAGTGTTGTCTAAAGGTGACAGTTTTTGCTGGTTCTGATTCATTGTGACCCTATGCACAACATAATACTGCCTGGTCCTGCATCATCCTCACAATTGTTGCTACAGTTGAGCCCACTGTTGCAATCACTTTGTCACTCCAGCTAGTTGAGGGTCTTCTTTCTCTTTCCTGACTCTCTATTTTTCCAACCATGATATTCTTCTCAGGGACTGGTTCCACATGATCACATGTCCAAAGTACATGAAACAAAGTCTCCCATCACTGTTTCCAAGGAATATTCTGACTGTACTTCCTTCAAGACAGATTTGTTCATTCTTGTGACAACAGTATAGTGACAACAATGTAGTCAATATTTTCCCCATCAATAACATAACTGAAGGAGCTCTGGTGGCCTAGTGCCTAAGGCATTTTGACTGCTAACCAGAAGGTTGGCAGTTCAAATGCACCAGCCACTCCTCGGAAGGAAGAGTGGGCAATCTACTTCTGTAGACATATCACTTTGTAAACCCAAGGAGGGGTTGCTATGAGTCAGAACCAACTTGACGGCAGTTGAGTTTGGTTTGGTTTTGGCATAATTCAAATGTATCAATTCTTGTTCGGTCTTCCTTATTCATTTACTATCCAGCTTTCACATGCATTATGAGGTGATACAAAAATATCATGGTTGGGTCAGATATACCTTAGACCTCAAAATGACATTGTTGCTTTTGGACACTTTAAAGAAGTTTTTTGTCACAGATTTGCCCAATGCAATAGGGCATTTGATTTCTTGACTGTAAAATGTAAATCAATGCTTCTGTGGGCATTGATTATGGATCCAAGTAAAATGAAATTCTTAACAACTTCAATATTGTCTATGTTTATCACGATGTTGCTTACTGATCCAGTTGTGAGGAATTTTGTTTTCTTTACATTGAGGTATAATCTATACTGAAGGCTTCAGTCTTTGATCTTCATCAATAAAGGCTTAAATCCTCTTCACTTTCAGCAAGCAAGGTTGTGTCCTCTGCATATCAAAGGCTGTTAATGAGTCTTCCTCTAATTTTGATGTCTTGTTTTTCTTTATATATCCCAACTTCTCAGATTATTTGCTCAGTATACAGACTAAGTAAGTATGGTGAAAGGATACAACCCTGATACACACCCTTCCTGATTTGAAACCATGCAGTATCCCCTTGTTCTGTTTGAATGACAACCTCTTAAGTCTATGTACAGGTTCCTCATGAGCACAATTAAGTGTTCTGGAATTCCCATTCCTTGCAACATTATCCATAATTTGTTATGATCCACATATTAGAATGCCTTTGCATAGCCAATGAAATACACGTGTATCATTCTGGTCTTTGCTTCCAGCCAAGATCCATCTGACATCAGCAATGATATCCCTCATTCCACATCCTCTTCTGAATACGGCTTGAATTTCTGGCAATTCCTTCTCAATACACTGCTGCAATCATGTTTGAATTATCTTCAACAAAATTTTACTTAATAATTGTCTTATTAAAAATACTGTTGATAATTTCTGTATTCTGTTGGATGACTTTTCTTTGGGATAAACACAAATATGGATCTCTGCTAGCTGGTTGGCTAAGTAGCCGTCTTCCAAATTTCTTGGCATAGATAAGTGTTTCCACCATTGTATCCATGTGGTGAAATCCATTTGTTGCATCATTTGTTGGTATTCTGTCAATTCCTGGAGCCTTGTTTTTCACCAATACCATCAGTACAGTATGGATTTCTTCCTTTAGTACCATCAGTTCTTGATCACATGCTACCTCCTGAAATAAAATACTGACCAATTCTTTTTGGTAGTGACTTTAGTGTATTCCTTCCATCTTCTTTGATGCTTCCTGAATCATTCAATATTTTATTCATAGAATCCCTCAATATTGCAACTTGAGGCTTGAATTTTTTCTTCAGTTCTTTCAAGTTGAGAAATGCTGAGCGTGTTCCTTTTTCATTTTCTAACTTCAAGTCTTTGAAAATTTCATTGGAATACTTTCCTTTGCTTCTCAAGCCACCCTTTGAAATATTCTGTTCTTCACCATCTCTTCCATTAGCTGCAGCAGAACAGCTAAAACAAATGGCAGAAAGATGACCGTAGTGACTCAAAACTTTTGCAGACGGAGGTTATAATTAGCCCTGTGGTCCTAGATATCACTTTCCCTTCAGAACCCTTTCCCCCCCAACGTTAAAAATGAATAGTCTGGACCATTTGCTCTCTCAAGAAATATTCAGTGTATACCATGTATTGAGAGGCCCCTGAGTGGTGCAAACAGTTAAGTGCTGGGCTACTAATCAAAACGTTGGTGATTTGAACCCATTCAGAGATGCGTTGGAAAGGCCTGGTGATCTGTTTCTGAAAGGTCACAG